ACTCGTTCCCGCGTGGGCCTCGGCCATGAGGAGCTCGTGCAAGTTGTTGGTGCTCTGTGGCCGACCCCGCCGAGTGTCGCGCCGGCGCAGGTCGTCGTCGCGGCGATACCGGCTGGTCCTGCCCTCGTCTTCGCTCTCGACGCGGGCAATGGAGGGTGTCGAGAGAGCAGGGGCGTTCGTCGCGAGCTCGATCGCATCGCTCGGCGGCAGCGCCTTCTTCGGGTCGTCGCCAAAGAGGCTTTCCCAGACTTCACTCGTCTTCTACACGTTGCCATGTCGCCTCGACGCTGCGGTTTACAAGACAGATGATGGACGACGTACTTGAGCGTTAGCGAGCAGCGCTTGCGTCGACGCGGCTTGCGCGGCCGAGTCTTGGTCGAAGATGCCCTTGATCTTGGAGAGCCCGTGGCGCATCTTTTGCAGCGGCGTCCGGCCCGGCGGCGCGCGCTGCCGCCACTCGGGAAAGATCGCCGTCGTAAACATGGCCGCGTCGCCGCCTTCGAGGGCCAAGGCGTCGGAGGCCGACGTCGTGTCGAGGCCATTCGCGCTCGCCAGCAGCACAATGCGCTGGTCTTCGCTCAGCTCAAACGAAAACGCCACATTTTGCACGAATTGCATGATCTGGTGCTTGGACATTCGGAACGCCGCCATGTTGTAGAGGTATGTCGAGAGCTGGCCAAAGACCGTGTTGTGCACGGATAGCACGAGCGACGCGCGTTTCGCGGGCGGCCAGTAGTGCCACGGCGTCTCCATCGGATTTCGACTCAGCTCTTCGCCGATGCTCATGAGCACCTAATTGATAGATTGATACATACGACATGTCGCATCGTCAGAAGACGTACTGCGTCGCCCCAGAAATGGGCGGTTTGCCAAATCGGGTGGTGCACGATGCCGTCGAGGAGGTACTTGTGCGTGCTGCCGTCCACGTCGATGCAGTAAAAAGTCTGCGCCATGTTCATGACGCTCTTGGCACACTTGGTGTCGCCACGGTCCATGCAGCCATGCAAGAGAAGGTTCATCGATGCCACGAGCGCTTCGTAGCCTTGAGCCTACAAGAACATAAATATCAATGTTTCAAGACCGGGCGGATTGGTATATGGTTTTCTGCATTTTTTCAGGACATTGGACGTACCGACAGAGTGAGCGAGTGGGTGCGTTGATGGTTGAGGGCCGCGACGAGCACCTTGCGCACCGTGTCCATGCGGTACAGTGCCTTGGACTTGGGGTCAACAAACCGTCGGCGGTGCCGCGTCGAGACCTTGGTCGGATCCAAAATCATGCGCGAGAGGTCGGGCTCGACAAAACAGCACGCGATAAAGTCCTTCATGACCTCGACGTCATGAACTGTCATGCCACTCGACTGCAGACAGGGCCTGCAAGCAAGCATCTATCCATGAGCGATACACTTTACATCGCAACGACGTACAAGGCGTCCGACTCGAGCGCGAGATAGTCATCGGGCTCGTTGCGCGCAAGCTCGATGCGCTCGAGGTGCCACTTCCAGTGCCACTCGAGGAGGAAGAGCGCTTTCGAGTGCCGGTGCGTAATGTCTGGTTGCATGTGGTCGAGAATGTACTGCTGGATCGTCGCGGACCGGTCGGTCGCCGACACCATGCGCGCAAGGTCGCGCAAACTGTCCATTTCCGCCGCCAGCGCCGACTGCTTGACCTAGTAGAGGCATGAGAAGGCCACGCAGGAAGGGCGCGTCGTACTTGGATGAACTGCTGCAAGATGAGGACCATGGTTTCGAGCCGGTCTTCTTCCATCATCTGGGACGCTTCGGTGGACTCTTCGACCATGTCGTCGCGGTGCTCGATCGCCGAGTGGAGCGCATTCTTGCAGGCTTCGTACTCTTCGAGGCCGATGCGCTCTTCCTCGGCGGCAGCATTGGCCTTGGCTACATCCATGGTCAAGCCATCGGCATCTGCGTGGACACGAGATGCACTAGTACCTAGGGAGACGGACAGCGCGCGTTGGCAGTCGGCGTTGGTGGGCTGCATGGCCACGGCGCCAGCGTTCATCTCGCAGATGCGCTTCCAGTGCGCGTGCTCTTCAATCGCCTTGTCTCGCCGAGCGATCGCGCGCTCCTACCCCATCCAGTAGTACAGTCTCGTCGTCGTCGTTGTCGTCGCAGCCATACCATGCGCTTTTCCGCCGCGGCCACGTCCTGGACGCACTTTTGAATCTAGGGTGTTGGGTCGTCGTCGGTCGAGTGCTAGCATCAGAGGAGGACGCGATCGTACGATGTTGTAGTTGTCCTTGTTCCACTTCTTGACGCGGCCTGCATTGTCGAGCGGCGACGCGAGCTGCGAGAGCGCCTTGGCGACCTCCATGGACTTGGTCCCGACCGTGTGGTTGTAGCGCTGGAGGCAGCGGAAGACGTCGTCCATCGAGGACTTTGAGATCTCTTCCGGTTGCATCGAGGCCACGTGGGCGTCGCTCAAGAAGGCGTGGGCCATCATCGAGTGCGAGTGACTGCTCGACTCGAGGTACTTTTTGAGGTGTTTCCGGACCGCGGTGCCCTTCTCGATGCGCGCGTGGACGCTCACGTACGGTACTTGGCGGAACGTGACGCTTCCGTCGCCGGCGTGGAAGGGCGTCGGGCGCTCGCCGAGCATGTACGGCGGGGGCGGCAGCGTCGTCGTCGTCGTCGTCGCCATCGTGCGCGTCGGTATATCTTGGAAATTTATTTTATTTTATTTTATTCGGATTCCTGCCAGTTTGAAGTTGCTAGAAACGTTGGATACTAACACCAAGAGGGTCTGCTCGCCGATCGCAACATGGACCCTTCGCTGGTAGTAACCGGGACCTCGGGACGGAATGCCTACTCCACCCGCGTCGCCTGGTATCGATTGTACCACCCGTCGGTTCGTCCGTCGACCGAGCTGCAGACTGCGGCGACCTTGACGAGCAGTCGTCGCCTCGGATGACCGTCGGCCGACGGACCCGCTTTCCGGCACGCGGCAGTCGAACGAACGGCAAGCAGACACATGCCTCCTGGGCCACGAGGCACGAGTCGTGGCGCTCCGTGCTTGCTTGCATCGCAACTGCATGCGAGTATCCAGTAACGTTATGCGACCCTTTTTCCGGTCGCCAACGCAAGCTGTTGCGGTCCAATTCGCTCGCCCATACAGTGTACGCTTGTCGCTCGATCCATCGTGGACCGCAGCCGCGACATGCGGGGTGCGTGGCGGCCATATATTTGTTGCGCCGGATTTGCTATGTCTATCGAATTGTTCCCGATGTGGACACGAATTCTGGAACGAGCTCGCTACGACCACGCCGCTTCGTCCAACTCAGATCTGAGTGGACGCTCCCGCGCGCGCTGGCATGAGCCACGGACAAGACACGAGATTCCATGCGTTGGCGTGCGCTGCTGGCGTTGCTCCGTTGCGGCATGTGTTTAGATTTTGGCGCGGGGCACTGGTTGCGTGGAACTAGACTTTGAGACGCTGCGACACGACAACGGTAAGATCTTGGCGCACGGCCGCCGTCGCGCCAGTCCTTTTCTCCGTGGCATCATCATTGCTCGAATTGTCGAACGCGTGCTTGCTAAACTTGGCTCAAAACGGCCGATTCCTGTAGCTCACGTCGATAGCCCAACGTCCATGACCACTCCCCGCGCCGAGTTTGCACGTCTCGCGTCGCCCCAGCACCCTGGGCGCGCCCCGCAGCTGGACGACGACGACATTGCCGAGCTGCCGCCGCGCGAGTCGGAAGTGACCCTCTCGTGCCTTCGCCGCGCCGCGCTCCCAGGTACGCGGCGTCTGCAACAATCTCATCCCAGCATGCCACCGCCCGTGACTAGTGCTCGCGATGATCGGCCTCATCGTCGGCATCCTCGCCGCCGTTGGCACCTTTAGCCCCGACACCAACCAATCGGTGAGCACGGGCTCGGACGCGCAGACGACGCCGACGCCAACCGTGACAATGACAGCCAAGCCGACACCGATTACAAAAGCGTCGCCGAGCCCGACGTCGGCCGATGGGACCTGCCCCAACCGGGGCACGCACCTCGTCGGTAGCAGCTGCGTGAGCTGCCCTACGCCCAAGAAGACGTTTGCCGTGTTTTGGGAATCCCAAGTCGACTGCTCGTCGGTACCGAATCCTATCTGTTTTTCCAGCTGCGTGCTTAGCGTGCCTAGTTTGCATCCAGCAGTGCCGCGGCCTACGTGACCCACATTTACTGGAGCTTTGCGCTCATTGACGCGGCTTCGGGCGCCGTGAGCAGCTCGTTCCAGGGCTCGGACGCGACGCTAAAAGCCTGCCTGGCCCAGACCCGCGCGTACGATATGGCACCATCTTATACGTTGGCCATCCTCACCACGTATTCTGTCTAGAAAATGCATCAAGAATTTCATTAGCATCGGCGGCGCGACCATGCGCGAAACGTTTGCCGCGCTCAACTCGACGGCGCAGATTGCCACGTTTGCGTCGTCTGCGGCGTTAGTCGTTCAAAAGTGCGTGCGTTTAGCCCGCCACCGATGCGTCGATTCTACGTCGAACGTAGGTTTGGCTTTGACGGCGTCGACATTGATGACGAGAGCGGGAACCTCCTCGCAGCCGGCGACTGGAAGGCGAACGCCGCGCCCAGCGTCGTCACGTACCTCACCGCACTCAAGACGCAGCTCGGCAGCCTGCCCCGGGCAGCCGGCGAGCCCGCGTACGAGATCACATGGGACGAGTTTCCGACGTCGCTCAACCCCGACTGCAACACGCCGACCGGTGACTTTCAGCGCTGCTTTGATCCGGCCATCGCACGCATCGTCGATCATGTGAATCTGATGATGTACAACGCGGCCTCGGCCGTACGTCCACTCTTGTCATCTCTAAAACAGATTGTCCTCAATTGACTAGACCGACTACGACACGTACTTGACGACGACGACACCGACGCTCTGGGCCAAGACAGTGAATCCGAGCCAAATCATCCTCGGTGGCTGCGTCGGACCCGTCGGGACGCTGGGCGGGTGTGCGTTTGGTGCGGCGCCGACGAGCACCCAACTCGCTGCGTATGCGTCCCAAGGCGCGGCGCAATATGGCGGCGCGATGCTTTGGACAGCGTCGGCCGACATGACTACCAACCAAGGCGCGACCGTGACGGCCATGGGCAAAGCCGGCAGCTACTCCAACAGTGGCTAAACAAACACAACATTGAAAACAACACTGAAGCGGTGGTGTGCCGATGCATCTTGGATGCGCCCTCGATAGTTTGATAGTTTGATAGATCGACATGTAGAATAGTTGGGTAGAAAACGTCAGGCAAACTACAAGTATACCATGCGCGCACGACCGGGTGGACTGCATTCGTGGTGGCAAACTCGTTTCTAGTCAACGAGGACAATATTGAGGAGGTCAACATGCATATGGGCTGACCCATCCCACCGATGTGTTTTTTAGACCGCCGGATCGATCCCGTTGCGACAGCCACGCTCGTTGCAATGCAGCAGACTATATATTTACTATAAAGTCGATGTTCGTAGCATTCAGCAAGCCGGCTTTGCGACGAGCTTCTCGATGGCGCCGAGGATATCGAGTCGCCCGTGGCCAAAATTGTTGTTGGGGTAGGCCGTGCCAGGGAGCCCGCCGCAAGTGCTCGCATCGTTCGCAAGGCTCTTGGTTTCGGCCGTGGTCGTAAGAAGCATGTAGACTTCGTCGTACGAAATGCCGGGCTTGGCCGAGATGAGTAGCGCGATAGCGCCGGCGACGTGCGGCGCCGCCATGCTCGTGCCGCTCATACTCACGTACGCCGCATCGCCCGTCGCGCCGCACGAAGTCACTCTTACGCCTGGCGCCGAGAGGTCCGGCTTCATGCGGCCATCGGCGGTGGGGCCCTTGCTGCTAAAATAGCCAAGTGCATCCGCATCGTCGGTGGCGCCGACGCCAATGACGTTGGCATACCCTCCGGGATAGCCCACCGACGAGCAGCTAGGACCAGAATTGCCGATGGAAAAGACGGGAAGGATGCCCGCGGCGCGCCACGCATCCACGATCGCCTTCTTGAACGGCCAGTCGACCGTACTGCCCCAGCTGTTGGTGACGACGTGCGGCTTTAGGTCGCAGCGCGGGTTGGCCCCGTGGACGTCCGTTGGACAGACCATGAACTGCGCGCAGGCGACGAGCGCCGACTCGGGACAAGAACCACCCGGACAGCCTCGACAGGCGATCCACTTGGCGTCCGGCGCGACGCCGACGCCGAGCCCGCCGACGGCCGAGCCGAGCGTGTGCGAGCCGTGGCCGTGGGTGTCCGATGGCTCGGCCAGCTGCGCTGTGGGGTCGTACCAGCCGTGCAACGCGCGAAAGTTGGATCTGAGCGCTTCGTGGGTGCCGCGCACGCCCGTGTCGATGGAGCCGACGACGACGCCGGCGCCCGTAAAGCCTTCGGCCCAAACGAGAGGCGCCTGCGTCTTGGCAACGCCCCACTCAGCGGTCACGTTGGTGGCGGCATCGACCACGGTTGGTAGGTCGAGCGTGAGAACGTCTTCGTGGCGCACGGCGAGCACTTCTGGGAGCTTGGCGAGCGCGTCGGCGACGGCCTGGGTCGCACCGGGAATGTAAAGGGAGTTGGTGATCCATAGCGACGTGGGCTTAAGGGTGGAGGCGGACTCGAGCTTGTCGTTGCGAAGTATGTGCAGCGCGGCGGCCTGCGACACGTCGGCGTGCGCCTGGAGCGTCGAGTACACGTGTTCGGCGAGGGAGGTAGTCGACTCAGGGCCAGCCTTGGCGAGGACTTCATCGGCGCGGCCCTTGAACTCGACGACGATGTTGGCGCCCGCGGCGACGGCGAGCTCTCGGAGGAGGCGCGGGTGGATCTTGGTTTGGTCGGCGGCGACGCTGCAGGCGGCCACAGTGAGGAGGGGCAAGACAACGCGCACCATCGTACTAGATAGACTCGCCTTTGCCGAGTAAATTGAGGAATGATTAACTTTTCAACGCCCAACTTTTCAAGACGACGTTCAGGTGCGTCGGTGGCCAGCGGGGTGGAGATTACAGCGTCGTTGCTGCTGCCCCATCTCGTTCATCGAAGGTGGCCACTTGGTTTCTGTCCATAGAGCACCTCCAGAATTTAGTCAACCGACACGAAGATGACACACCGTCTTTGCTTTTTGGCTTGGGTGGTCGTGTCCAGCCCTCTTCATTGACGGTTTCCCACCTGAGGCTAGGGCCACTCGGAGGTTTTCCCAGTTCTCTCTCGTAGTTTGTATCTCAAAATGTCCTGAATACGTTCCGGGTCATTGGTTGTGGCGACTTCACGGTCGCTCACTTTTGTTTTGGATTCCGTGCTGGCTCGCTTCTCCTTTGCCTCCTCTGCTTTCTCTTCCTCCTCTTTGCTTCTGCTTTGTGCCCTCCAAGTGCCAGCTTGACAGTCTCACTGTCCCCAGCAGACCGCTACGCTACTAAGCTTATCGTGCGTCGCATGATACGCTGGAGCCATGCAGTGGTTGGAGCAGACGGTGCTGGACACACATGTAATATACAACCAAGGATCTAAATGCACTTGTTGTCCTTGATTAGACCAAGGCCTTGATTCTACAACGTGTATTGAGTTGGTGGATAATACAACAACGGCGTGGAGTGCGATACCATGCTGAAGGGGTGTGTGTGATGGTCAGCCTTGAGCTGACTCCACACAACCGTGATCAAGGTCTGTCGCGACTGCAATACCATGTATCACATTGAGCTGACTTTTTATATCATTTGTCGCAATCCTCTGCAATTTCAGTTGTGTGTTTGCTGCACATGTGACTTTGCCCTTGCGAGTGATTGTACCGGTACCGGTACCGGTATGAACCACCGAACGTGAAAAAGTGAGGCCATTTTGCCTAAAAGTGATCATTTTGACGGTGTTTTTGTGTCAATTACGGTCCACGCCGCATTGCGCTCACTCGTTCGCGGCGAGAAGCGGCGCCGCGAGCTCCGAGCCAGTCATCGCAGCCTTGGCCGCCCACTGCCGAGCGTACTTTTCAATGCCGCGCTGGACGAGCGCGTCGCCTTGGTGCACCTTGGCATCGTGCTCGACGTGGCCATCCAAGAGCTCTTCGTACTGGTCCAAGCCGAGGTACCGGACGAGGCGCGCGTACCCGTTAAGGAGCGTGCACGTCGCGAGCACGAGCAAGAGCGTCGGCGCGTACATGCTAAAGTCGGTGCCGAAAAAGTGAATCAATCGCATGTCGGTGAAGAGCGCGTGGAACGCTGTGCGCGACGTGAGCGTCGACGCGTTCAGAAGCAGGAGGAAGTTGTAGCCGAGCGAAAACTGGAGGCGGCTCTGGTGCACCGACGTGGTGAGCAAACTGAGCTCGGTCGAGTTGTGGTTGCCGTGCAGCGCGAGCCGGCCAGACCCCCGCATCGAGAAGAGACTCATGTAGGTGCAGAGCGCCATGTAGAGGAGGAGGCCAATGACAATGATGTGCGTCGAGGCCGTCGACCCGAGCAGGTGGCGGAGCGGCGAGAGCCACTCGGGCGCGCCCATGACGACTTCGCTCCACATGACAATTCCGGACCCAAGGACACAGACGCACGTGAGCGCCTTGGCCAACATCGACACCACCGGAGTGGGCGACCGCGACGCGAGCTGGAGCTGCTGGCAATCGTAGCATAGATCGATCCACGTCTGGTCGCAGCGCCGGTGGTCGGCCTGCACGCGCTTGGCGCGCCCATGCAAATGGATGATCTCCTTCTCGGTCGGGAGCGAGTCGTCAAGGACAGGCCCGGCCAGCGACCGGTAGCTCGACCGGGTCTGCCGCTTTAGTGGTTTCGCCGCCTCGACGTCGCTGTCGAGACCGACGGTCCCCATGAGGTGGTCGATGCACTGCTTGATGTATTGAAACTCGGGCGATACGACGATTGTGGCGGCTTCGATCGTCTTGAAGCGCGTCGCGAGCTGGCGCACCTCGCGCACGACGTCGTCCAAGACAAACTGCGCTTCGACGCGCTCGTCGTGGACGTACGTCGCCCGAAAGTAGAGCTGGCGCAAGCGCAGCTGCGGGTCGCTGTACGCGTAGACCTTGCGCGGAATATTGACGAGGCCGTACCCGAGGAGGCAGATGATCCAGAGGAGGCCGTACGTGTTGCCGAGCGTCATGACGAGACCGAGGACGCCGCCAATCGAGAAATGGTCGACCACCACGAGGTACAAGAAGAGGAGAAAGCCGAGCACGAGCAGCACTGCGTAGTGCCGAAGAAGGTACTTGATCGAGTAGCGCAAGCGCTGCTCGGTGGTGAACGCACCGCTTTGGTTGTACTCGATCAAGACGGGCAGCACGACCCAGCTGAGCACAAACGTAGACCAGTACACGAATTGCCACGCGCAAAGCAATGTCGGATACGCGTCGGCGTCGCCACGCGCCGTGGTCGTCAAGTCCCATGGCAGCAGCACAAGACCGAGAAAGCCCACGTACCAGCTAAAGAAGACCGTGCCCGTGACGACCGCCCCGACCTGCGCGTCCTTGTAGTGGCCAAGAAGGGCGTACGTCCCGCCGGCCAAGACGACGCACTCGATCGCGAACCCGATGGCCATGCCGCTTCGCTACCACCGCCCTTTTTGCGATCTTTGCCCTTTGGCGATCTTTTTCAGTGGAAATTTCGATTTTCGACCCTTTTCCAGTCGCAACGTACGTGCTCGTGGAAAGCGACGGCACCGAGCGAGCACCGTGCGAGGTCGTGGCACACCGTGCAGTAGGGCTCCGCGGCTTGGCACCTCACGCCCACAGCGATAGATTAAATAAGCCTGCTCTTTATACAGCTGTCGTGCTCGGTATCGGCGCAACGCGTGTGGTGACGACGCCACTTGAAGCTGCACTCCTGCCGCGTTCCTTTTGTGTGAAGTTTGTGGAGCACAATATTACAACAGTGCGCGGTGCATGTTTCTAGTATGTGGTAGGCTGAGGCGATGCCACGTATTTTGTTAGATAAGCCTACTCTTTATTAAATATTGCTTTCCACCAGCAACGCAATCTTTCAATCTTTCTCTGGGGTACCCGTAGGACCGCGGGCCATCGCCGACGAAGCTACTTGCAAGGCTCTTGCTACTCCTCTATGGTACAGCAGGCGTCCAGAACTACATCTGGGAAGGACCAAGCTTGGGACGACGCGCGGATTGATCGTTCATTCGATTTTCGAACGTTTTGGGGTCAGCGCGATTCAGTCGTCCAACTTTGTGACTTGGGATGCAGCGCAGCCACGACGCGAGCGGCGAGAGCGACGTGGTCCCCAAGAAGCCGCGCTTGAGCGCGATACGGTCGCTCTCGATCCAGCACAACGCGACGCGGCTCCTCGATGGGCTCTTGTACATTGGCGGCAACGACTGCGTCAACGACTTGGACGTGCTCGGTACCATGGACATCTCGCACGTTGTCAACTGCACGCGCGAGACGCCTAACTACTTTCCAGGTACGACGCTCCCAACGAGCGTAGCACAACAATGCGATGTGGTAGACCGCGTCGAGTACTTGCGTGTGCCCATCACGGACGAGCCCGAGATGGAGATTGACATGTACTTCGACGACGCCTGCGCGTTCATCCACAAGGCTGTCGAGAACCACATGGCCTGCATGGTAGACGATCTTATCTTGGATGGAGCGAAGATGCATCGAGGGTAAAACGTAGGTGCACTGTTCGCATGGCATGAGCCGCAGCGCCACGATCGTCCTCGCCTACCTCGTCAAGATCCGCAAGATGCGCCTCCTCGATGCACTGCAGTACCTCCGATCGCTGCGGCGCGTCGTGTCGCCCAACATTGGTTTTATGCAGCGCCTCCTTGAGCTCGAGATGGCTGTCCACGACGCCAACTCGCTCGACCTCCAAGCGTACACGAAAGACCGGTTCGCACCAATTCCCGACTTGGCCCTCAACCCTGCCCACAGCGCGTGATGAATTGCCGCTTTTGTGTATGCTTATATTGTCGTTGAGAACGATCGTATTTTCCACATTTTTTCCTATTGTAAATTGTACCTTTTCTTGGACGCGATCGGTCGCAACTTGAAAGTATTTTGGGCGCCCGTTTGTTGTATTTTGAGCACCGATGGTCGTCGCGCTGCTGACGGCGTCGCCACACGACAACGCGGTCTGTCACATCCTCGCGACGCCCGACGACCGCCGCGCCGTGCCCCACCCCCGTATCTGCAAAGCGCTCTGGCCGCTGCTCTCTCGTACGACGACCTGGATATCCTCGTCTCGATGGCAATAATGTCATCTCTAGTCGCCTTTCTCATTTCCGTCGTATCTGGCATCGTCTACGCCGTCCAGTCCAACGCGAGCAGCCACGAGTCCGCTCTCGCCACCAAGGAGCGCATTGCCGTCTCGCCCACCTCCTGCCGCGCACCATTGCCGTCGCAGCGCGTCGTCCTCTTTTGGGAGACACAAGTCGAAGGCTGCATGACCGTACGACCTTCCTCGTGCTTGCTATTAGCGTGGGGAGCTACTAAGCTTTGCGATGGCAGGTCCCGCCCGGTGTCACACACATTGTGTTTGGCTTTGCGCTCGTGCAACAGAGTCGAGTCGTGCCGACGTTCCAAGGTGCCGATGCGACGCTCCGCGCCTGCATCGCCGCCCTTCAAGCGTACGACGGCGTGGCGGCTCTGGCTGGAAGGTGACGCGCCATGCGTAGGCGCTGCATTATCGTCATGGCCAGCATCGGCGGCGCGACTAATGTCGACGGCATGGCCAGCATCGACGCGCCAGACGCGTTCGCGGCGTCCGCGCTCGCCCTCGTCGAGTCGTTCGGCTTGGATGGCGTCGACATTGATGACGAAACGGTGGGGGCGACGCATGACGCCAAGCGCGTCACCGCGTACATGACGGCGCTGCACCGCGCGCTCAAAGGCGGCCGCACACCGTACTACATCAGCTACGACGTGTTTGTGTACGAAGGTAGTATTTCCAATCGCGACGGAGAACGTGCCACGTATTTTATCCGGATAGGCGTCGCTTCCGTCTGCACGAATGCAACGTACTCGCGCTGCTTTGCGCCGACGCTCCTGCCGCTGCTCGACTGGGTCAACATCATGGCGTACAACGTGGATATCGACCGCACGGCCGCCGCGGTACGCTGGTGACCTCGATTGGAAAGTATCAACTTGATATGTAGGCAATTTACGCCAATGCAACGACGACGATCTTTCCAGAATGGTTCGCATCGCACCTCGGTGGGGACGTGGCGAAAGCTACCATTGGCGTCTGCGTCGGCGGTGGTTGCGCCTACGGCGACGGTCCCAGCGACAGAGTCATCGCCAACTGGGCAGAGTATGCCAAGTCCCACGGCGGCATGGTACCGACAACACTGCTACCAACGATTGAGGAGGGACTTGCGACGTCTGCTATTAGATGGTGTACGCTGGCTCGTCCGACGTCAACTTTGCCGCTACCAAGTCCATTATCACTGCCTTGGCGCCGTAGCTCGTCTTCGGACTCTGTGCGCTTGGAGCCGAACGAATCGAACGCTGCAAGATATCCAGTCATTCAAAATGCACGTCCGCTCTCACAGAGCTCGCTCTCAATGGCTACCACGATGACGGGAGGCTTCTTCTCTGCGCCGAGATGCTGGCTTCTTATCGCATCGTTCTTGACAAAGCATGGCATGGAAGCGCATGCAAGCTGGCATGCCGGGAATGTGTATGGCAGCAGCTATCGGAGAGCTTGCAGAGATAGAATTCGAGCAAAAACCTAGCGTATTCGGTTGGACGTTTGCATGTGATAGCGCCGCAATGAGGGAATATCTCTCGCCGGAAAATGCCCACAATCCGTGCACGTCCCGTCGCGTGCGATTGGTCGACGTACTGGTTAAGGGAATTGAACGCCATTACAGCCGCGGTGCTGAACCACCATCCGACGCAGCTTCGACGACGGCCGCGACGACGACGACGACCCATCCCGCCGAACCCGCGAGGAGTGGCATGGAGAGAGGAGACGACGAGACCGAGCCTACGTCCCCGTACACGTCGATGCAGTCGCCGATCCCGATCGTAGTGAACAGCGTGGAAGACAAGGAGGCCACGCCTCCGATGGCCGCCGAGGGCTCGTCGTGGTCCGAGCCGGCGGGCAACCCGGCAGAGCTCGTGATGCTCACCGCCGGCGGTATCCGCTTGTACGACGAAGCCAACGAGAACGAGGTCGTGCCGGGCTACAACAAGTCGACGCGGTCGTCGTGGTCGGCGCGCGGCTCGAGCTTGGCGGGCCGGGCGCGGGCGGGGCCGCCACCGACGCGCTTCAAGCCGACAATGCACCGGTTCTCGTCGCGCGCGAGCACGGCGGACGCGCAGATGGAGACGTCGCCGGGCGTGCGGCCGCGGCCATGCTCGACGTCGCAGCTGCAGCACAGCCGCTTCTACGCGACACTGCCGCCGCAAGACTCGTCCGTGCGCGTGTGGCGCAACTCGTTCTTTGGCGGTCGGCTCATCTTTGCGAGCGTGCTCCTCCTCGCGTGTGCCACCGCGAGCCTTGTCTTGCACAACATTGGCCACGCGTCGTCGCACTGCGCCAACATGGACGCCGCGTATGCATTCGCCTACTACATTTCGATCGCATCCACCGCGAATCTGCTGCTCATGCTGCCGGCGCTCTTCCCGACCACGTGCGGCCTGTACAAGGTCCAAGGCCGGCGCGTGATCCGCCGCCCGTTCCTCCAGCTCACCGAGATGCTGGTGGTGGCTCAAATGTCGCACATGCTGCTCGAGTGGATCCTCCTTCTCGTGGCCATGCCCAATGCAGCGTTTTACTGCCACCAAATCGACAGCGTCCTTGAGCGCGTCCGGTACCACGTCGCGTTCTACGCCGTCCTCCCGATCACGGCCGTGCTGTACTGGCAGACAGTGCTCTTCTGCCGCTTCCGGACGCATCTCAAGCTCCAGCTCGGGTCCACGAACGACGCAAAGCACTCGGCCAACCTCCAAGGCTGGCTCAAAACGTACGCAGTTTCCTGTGCATGCAAAGGGCATCGTCATCTTGCACACTAGATTGTTTACGCTGCCAGCGATCAGCCGTCGGAGCCGCAAGATCACAGAGCTCCGCACCGGTCTCTTCAAGGCCGCGTCGGCCGGCGACTTTGAAAAGGCACAAGACCTCCTCGACGAGGCCACACGCGTGCTCGGCGACGGCTTTGCCACCCGCAAGCTCTACCACGGTACCGAGGCCCTTTGTATCAATGTATCCATCGCAAGGATTTTTTGTAGAACCCCGGCTGTGGCTCTGGGCGTTTGCGCGGTCGCGCAAGACCCGCTGCACGTGGCCGTCGCGAAAGGCGATCTGCGTCTCGTGGATCTCTTCTTGCGCTATCATTTCGACGTCAATGCGCTCGACAAGGTCGCGCGCGTCAACTTCAACCTTGGCGTGCTCTTCAAGATCACGCGCCTCTTTGTACCTCCATCATCTTGGTCTATGAAGGATCGAAGGCTCATGGTACGCGTAGGTCCGTACGCAAGACCACGTTCAGAGCATGAACGACTCGATCTTCTCGAGCGTGCTCGTGAGTCCGCTGCACATTGCGGTGCAATCGGGCGAGCTCATGACCGTGCGCTTTTTGCTCGACCACGGCGCCAACGTCGATACATTGCCGCGTGCGTCCTTCTTCAAGCAGTCGGCCGTCAAGCCCGCCATCTACTTTGCGGACGACGTGCAGGTACTGTGTTTTCTTCCTTTTCTCCCATTTTCTCGCTTTTTCTTGTTTTTTCTTGATTTTCAAACATCCTGTGTGTAGGTCATCCAAGTGCTCTTGGCGCACGGCACCAATCTCTTGTACGTCAGTAAGGCCTCGACCGTGCTCACACCCTTGGTACACCTCAGTCTCCTCTGTACCTCGCTGCTAGCATCCGAATTGATCGCACTTTTTTCTAGCAACGCAACATGCTCACGCACCGGGTCATGCAGTGGAGTCTTCTCGAAGCACACGGCGGCGATGTGGCGCTGACGCCTCTGCACGCGGCCGCAGCGGCCAACAATGTCAGCGCTGTTCTCTCGTATGTGAAAGCCGGCGTTCAAGTCGACACCCTTGGCGAACTCGCGGCCGGCGTCCATTGCCGCACGCCATTGCACTGGGCCGCGATCACGGGCAGCCACCTCTCGGCCAAGCACTTGCTCGCTTTCGGCGCCGACGCCAACGCCCGCGACGACATGGGCCGCTCGCCGCTGCACTGGGCAGCCCGCAACAACCACGTGGCCGTTGTGACGCTGCTGCTCGAGCACGAGAGTGACCCGAACGCGCACGATCGGATGGGCAACCCGCCGCTGTCGGTGGCCGCGCAGACCGAAGGCGTTGGCCAAGATGTGATTGCGGCGCTCATTGCCCACGGCGCCGACCTCGACTTTGCAGGTACCACGACTTGAAATGGCAGTGGTCCAAATTCGAAATCGGCCATCATGGCGCGTAGACGACGGCGGCAACACGGCACTGCACGTTGCCTTGATCAACGAGAACCGCGTGACGGCCGTCTCGCTGCTCAAGTGCGGCGCCAACATCATGGCAACCAACCTCGACGGCAAGCGCGCGGTCGACTGCACGACGTCGACCGAGCTCCAATTTGCGGTCAAGAAGGAGGCCGGCAGCCGCGACGTCATGATCAGCTATACCCACGCCCACGCGCCAATCGCCAAGCGTGTGCGCGACCACCTTGTCGACCACGCGCGTCTCACATGCTGGATGGACACGATGGACCCAAGCGGCATCGGCGGCGGTGCGGTCTGGCGCGAAGAAATCGCCCGCGGTACCCATCTTCTTTCAACCATCCGTTCTGATAAGTTTCGCATCATCATACGACTAGGTATCTTCAACGCCAAGGTTGTTGTCGCCGTCGTCTGCGATGGCTACGCGCGCTCCGAGTGGTGTCTCAAGGAGCTCTCGTTCGCCAAGATCTCGAAAACACCTGGTACGTCTCGAACCACGACTCGATGGGCATAAGATGACGATGCATTGCCCTAGCGGTCGTCCTCGTCGTGGATCCCAATGGCATGTCGAGCGAGATTGAGCGCCTCGTGCCAAAGCAGTGTATCCTGCCCTTTCCCGTCTCGGATGCGATGCTGGAGGACCCTACGCAGTGGGCGGCAGCGTTCGAGGCCGTCCTCGGGCCGGTCCGGGACGCCCTCCGGCATGCCGAGCCGCCACCGCTCTTGCCACTCTACAATTTTGATGTGCACGCGCCGGCGCGCCGCGTGTTTATCTACTACACGGCGCAGGACCCGTCGTTCCTCCGCCGCATCGAAGTGAGCGTCCAAGCCAAAGGGTTTGTGCCACTCCTGGCGTCCCAGCCCTTGGATACGATGGACGTGCGCGAAGAAGCGGACGTGATGACGTCGTCGTCGACGGTCGTCTTCCTCGTGACGACGGACGAGCTCGGAGACAACGACGACGCGTGGCGGAATCTGCAAAAGAGCTACTCGATCGCCAAGACGCACGGCAAGACGATCGTGCCGGTATTTGTGGGGCCGCAGTGCTTGGACTTTAGCAAGCTCTACAGTCTCTGCCGGACGCCGTGGCACCCGTTTGTGGCCCAGCGCGGGTTCGAAGCCAACTTTAGCCACCTCACGAAGCGCCTCAACGACATGCTACCGATGGGCTTGGCGCTCGTGAGTAAGCGGCCGCGGTCTGGCTCGGACACGGTGTACGTCACAATGCCCTTCTCGCGCAAGAGTGACCCGTCCTTCGTCTCGGCGTTTGTGTAGCTTTTTATATAGTCGCTCGTGCACTCGTACATGTATGATCGTATCTTTTGGTTTGACGTCTTGACGCATGCGCTTGCTGGTGACGGTGCTGGCGGCTCCGGCTTGCACTGACGTTTGTACCATGATACCTCCATGCGCATGCGATCCAGCGCCTACCAAGGACTCTCGGCATCATGGCGCTGCGGCTAGGCTAGGCGAAGCTCTCCATACGGCCGGCTACGTGGCGCGTTGCCCGTCCGCGCCGCTTGGCCGACGGCCGCGCCGTGCTGGCCGCGCCGATTTTGGTGGCGCCGTGTGATTGGCTATAAATCTGTTACGTACGCTCCATAATAATTTAACAAATACATACAAAAAGCAAGGTAAATCCCATGCATTTAATAGCGGGGCAGGTGCAGGGCGCACTTTATCGGGTGACTCGCCTTGGGTCTGTGTGGTATCTCCAGTCAGTAACAACATCCGTTCGAACGGCAGCAAGCTCCATGGCGGCCCCGGCGCTCTCGATCGACACGCAGCATGACGACATGATCGTACGTCGAACATGCTCCTGGCGATGATCCTACATGCATGGCTCATGCGCGCCACGTAGCATGATGCGCAATTGGACTACTACGGCAAGCGGCTCGCGACGTGCTCGTCGGACCGGACCATCAAGGTCTACGATGTCACGGCCGACGCCCAGCACACGAACGAGCGCGTCTTGGCAGGGTACGAAGCCAATGAGAAAGCGATGACTGGATATGCTAAGCGGTGCGTAGCCACGAAGGCCCCGTGTGGCAGATCAGTTGGGCGCACCCCAAGTTTGGCACGCTCCTCGCGTCGTGCTCGTACGACGGCAAGGTCATCATCCACAAAGAAGCCCAGCACGGCCAATGGTCGCAGATCCACACGCATGCGTTCCACCAGTCGTCGGGTATAAAGCCATTTCTTCTTATCGCCTTGCAGCGATCCTCCCTCTGCTGTAGTCAACTCGATTGCGTGGGCGCCGTACGAGTACGGGCTTAGCCTCGCGTGCGCGTCGGCGGACGGCAAGGTGTCCATCCTCACGCACTCGGCGGGTACGCTTCTTCGTGCTCTCGACCGAAACATGCTCATGCCACCGTTTTCTAGTGGAAGGCTGGACGACGAGCTACTTTCAGGACAGCACGCTCGGCGTCAACGCGGTGAGCTGGGCGCCGTACCACAGCCTCGGTCTCCAGGGCAAGCGCGTCGTGACGGCGTCGTGCGACAACACGGTCAAGGTCTGGGCCCTTCCGGACGGCGCGACCGAGTGGGTCAAGGAGGACCTGCATCAGTCGCTGCCGCACCACAGCGACTGGGTCCGCGACGTGGCGTGGGCGCCGTCGACCGGCGCGCCGTCCAACCTCATTGCGAGCGCGTCCGAAGATCGCAATGTGTGCATCTGGACACAGGAAGAGACGCCGTCCGGCGAGCCGTCCAAGTGGACCAAAGAGCTCCTGCACACGTTTGACGCGCCCGTGTGGCGCGTGAGCTGGTCGGTCACGGGCAACGTCCTCGCCGTCTCGACCGGCGACCACAAGGTGTCGCTCTGGAAGGAGTCGCTCGACAAGAAGTGGCTGCAGATCTCGTCTGTCGACGAAGTCGGCGCCTTGCACCAAGCGACGCAGTAAGGCGATGACGCACCGTCGTCACGCGCCTATTACCATCCCCTCGTGCCCAATGTATCCCTTTCCCACTACACCACACTCTCGTCGTCGTCCATCGCAACGCGCAGAAGAAGTCATCGTTCTTAGGCCATGCTTAGTGCTGCTGCATGCGCGCCGCCGTGTCGAGCGTCCGCGCGCGTGCGAGCTTCATGCAGCGCGTGAGCGTCTCGCCCGCAATGAGGCTCCCGCCCGCCTTGTACACGCCGCAAAACTAGACCAGACTGCATATTCGAGCTACGAGATCGGAAGCGGTACCTCGCCGTTGGTGTTGTAGAGGATCGTGACCGTGCCCCGGAGCACGTCTTCTTCCTGCGCCGTCGGGTCCAGCAGCACGTGGTCCTTGTACAGGCCAAAGGTTGTCGGGACAAGCGTCTGGTGCACCGGCAACGGCAGCCCGTCCGTGCCTTCTGCAAGACGACGACGACGATGTTGCATGTGAGGAATATGGAGGAATATGGAGGATCGAGCGTACCCGGAGCAAGCGAGACGACAAAGTCGGACGACACGGTGATGGCCGGGAACGTCAAGTCGCGGAGTGCCATCATGGTCGCGAGGAACGCCGTGTCCAAGGCGTTGCCGTCGTGGTCGAGGAAGAGCACGCTAATGATGAGCTTCCATGCGCACTTGCCGCTCTCAATGCAGAGATCGCGGAGGTTGATCACCTGCGACCTAGGCGACGGGGACGCATGAGCGCCATGTCGTCGTCGTCGTCATGGAGCGAGTGTACCCGATGAGCGTCCGACTCAGAAAGCTGCTCAAGCTCTGCGCTTCGTCGGTCGTGCGCTGCGTCGAGAACTTGCTCTGGCACACGCCCGTCAAAAACACTTGCAGATCTACGCAGCGCAGCTCAGCCACGGCTCCAAGCGATGTCGTGACGCACCGACTTCGCCTTGGTCGGGCGTCGCGATGGCGGGTGTCCCGACGGCGAACTGGATCGTGGCGAGCGCGCTCGAGTGGCCGAGCTTGACGAGGCAGGCGCCGGCCTTGGTGCGGTTCATGCTGACGGGACGGCCGTCGAGGAGCTTGCGCGCGTCGGGCCGGACGCCGCTGTCGAGGCAGCGGCTGACGTAGTCCTCGGCAAAGAGCTTCTCATACAGCTCGGTGCTGCAGTGCATCGAGGTCGCGGCCATGCTGGTGATGATGGAGTCCTGTGATCTTGCTGGAACTGTTGGCTGGTGTTGGGGAGATGGGGGTCCAAAATTGAAGAGGGTCCCACAAAACGGTATCTATTACAATAGTTTCAAAGTATTAGTTTTTATTATCTGGTATTGAGCGCAAAACAATTAATGAATGGGTCCGCCTACATGGACCCAGATAGAGGGTAGGCACGAAACGATACGCTCACATTTGCACTTGCTCGCTGAGACGACTGTCCGTCATGGCCATCTATCTTGTACCCGTGCCATGCTCGACCGCTCACGCGCTGCATGGCGCTTGATGTATTGCCAACGCCAGATGATGCTCCTGTCCACGGCGACAAGGTTCTCCTTCGACCACTGCGGCCATCCGCGCGCCTGATATCTTGGTCGCGATCGATGGTCTTCTTGCCTGTGCGACCATGAGGTCGACGCCGATGTAATGCAGCCCGATCTCTACAAGAAGCCCTTTTGGAGGACGTCTCTGAATGAAATTGACGGCTCCGCGTCTCTGTGCATTGGCGTCAATCGTGGTGATGGGCCCGACGCGCGCGCGCTTTTTCTCAAAGCGTACTAGTAGTCGAGGACCTTTGCATGATGATTTCCTACTCGAGTTCGTCGGTGCGAGTAGGCAATCGTTCGTCTTCCTGCGAAGTGCTCGAGCTCTAATTTGTATCATCGACTGAACAATACATGGGAGCGACCGCTAGCTTGCCGAGGAATCAGGAGTCCTCGGTTCTTTCTGTGATAACGAGGCGGTTGGAGTTGTAAATCCGAGGGTCTCACTGGGATGACTGGCCGCCTTCGTCCGATGGGCTCGCTCTGCTGAGAAGGCCAAACGGCGCCATGTGATCACCAAGCCACAAACACAAATGTAGAGAGAACGATGAGGTCGTTTGCGCGCGCACACGGATGCTTCTGGATTGTGTTCGCTCTCTTGTCGCGGGCGTGGTGCCGGCGGACGACTGCATCGAGGTTGTCCCGAGCGTGTTCTGCGGATGCGCGACGGCGAGACAGCAATGCTCGTGCGCCAACCCCGAGGTGCATTGCGCCGCCGAGTGCTCGAGGAGCTGGCGAATCGAGTCGAGCAGTGTAGTACATCATTATTTCCTGTGTTGGACACTTTTTGTGCTTGAATTCGACATTTAAACTTCCGGTTCATTGGCACATTGGATCGACCATTTGCAAAGCTGAACCGAAACCCTCTCGCAGAGGCGCTGCATGTTGAACTTTATCTTGAACTGAGGTCGAGCCGTAAGATCCCGGCACAAAGGTACTCAGTACACCCTGTCTTGGACGCTATGCCGCATTGGCATCCTCGCGGTCGACTTGGCAAGGTCCAAGGTCAGCGTATGATGTTGCAGTGGCGTGATCGCGTCTAGGAGACAGCAGAGTCGGTACATGTATGCATAAAGGACCTACGTGGTGGGATATTGAGCACCAAGCGCTGGCCACCCATCGCGTCCAAGAAGCCCGCGAAACCACGGTGCACCACAGGGTTGTGGATGTGTTCGAGTAGCAGCTGGCAGCCCACGGTCGAGTGAGGTTCCCACAGTTTCCAAAGGCCTTTGTCGCGCAGCAGCGCATGCCGCCGGGCCGTCCGTGGCCGCATGCCGCCGCCTGTGCCTATTGCGCACATCTTTTGGAAACTGTGGGAACCTCACGAATGATTCGTTTCGAACGGCTCTAAAAACGTTGGTTTCATTGTTTAAAACGCGTTTAAAACTGTCAAAATGGTTGCATTACGTGGCACGCTGAAAATCTCAGTGGCCCAATCCACTTCTACGAGAAACTCATCGACGGCTGCGACGACGTCCTGCATGAATGGAAAGTTCTCCTGCGTGTCGTCTACATCATCCGCGTCATGATCGACTTCTACCCCGGTGGCAGGTGCAATACGCACCGCCCCGAGACTCACGAGATGGTCGATATCATTACACTTTTCTACTCGTGCTCGGGACGTGTGCGAGCTGCTTGCCATTGAAGGCGATGGCGACTTCACGCTCGGCATTGCAGAAACCGATGCCGGAGCGCCCGTTGAGGCAGCTATCTGTCTGCATGTTCTTCCACAAGGCTTCAGGACCGTCATGCTACAAGGGTACCGTTTGGATGTTTGCTGGGACCCAGAGTCAGAGCTTGAACCACGCCTGCAGGTTGAACTATTGAAAAGGAAGCGATGCCATTGGCTATAATGCGACCACCTGTCATCCACCGAGCGTTTTTGATTGGCTCTATTGATAGTTTTATCAATCTTTTTTATAGCTTGATGTTGCTATGGACCTTCGATATTTTGGAAATTAAAGCTCGCGCTGGCCTGCACGAAACAAGAAATTCGCCAACCCGTCGGCATGAGCAGCAACCAGGACGAGCCGCTCCGCCTCGCCGGGCAGGTCGACCTGCGCGAGGTCCTCGACGGCAGCAGCGCGTGCTTCCGGCTCCAGTTCTCCGAGGACGTCCGCGCCAAGGAGCTCAAGTGGGTCCTCTTCACCGACACGCGGCGCGGCGCGATCGGCAAGCTCATCTTTACGCTTGAAGCCAACCAGTCGGCGCACATCAAGGTCATCGACATCAACCAAAACTACCGCAACATGGGCCTCTCCAAGCTGCTCTTTCTTGCGACGACAGCGACGCTGCAGGCGCGCAACGTCACGGAGCTCGTGCTCGAGGCCGAAGAAGACACACGCCGGTATACGTCTTCCTCCGCCTTGTGCAACTCGAGTCTCATGCGATGCCAGGCACAAGAAGCTCGTCGGCCTCTACGAGACGTGGGGCTTTACCGTCAAGCCCAACGCCAAGATTCTCTTCCTGTACAACGACACGCAGAGCTTCCGGAAGGTGCCCATGGCGCTGCCGCTCCATGTACGAAAAAGCACGCATCCATCCCTCCGCATGCTCATGGTCTCCTTGATAGACCAAGGAGCCCATTTCGCTCGAGTCCATGGGCCCACACTCGTTTTGCATGATCTCGCTGCGCACGATGGATGGCGTCTTTGTCGTTGCGTCCGAAGACGGCCTGATCGAGACGACGACGGGCAAGTCCCGCGACGCCTTTTGGCAGACGATGCTGCTGACGACCTCGACGCCCAAGGGCGGGACCATCTCGCTGCGCAGTGCGCACGGCAAGTTTCTCTGCGTCGAGCCCGTCGGCAACGTGCTCGCCGACCGCTTTGTCAACTCGACGTGGGAAACATTTGACGTCCTCGCGCATCCCTCGTCGGGCGGCGTCGCGCTACGCAGCTTCCACGGCAACTACCTCGGGCTCGACAGCGCGCGCGGCCTCACCATCTCGGCCGAGCCCATGGCGTGGGACGGCGACGCGATCAGCGTGCTCACGTGCGACAAGACGCAGGCCACGCCGGTCCACGCAAAGCTCATGCGCAAGTACCAGAACATGCGCTTTGCCGAAGCGCAGGCGGCGACGTTTGCGGGGCTCAACCACGCGGCGCTCTCGATCGACGATGCGTGCAAGGCGCTGCTTCGTCTCAACGGCGAGTCGGGCGCGGCGACCAGCAGTCGACTCTTGCAGCACATGCTTCACGACGGCAACGCCATTCGCGCCGAGGGCCATCCCGATTGGATGCAACTCGTTGTGTTTCTGTACGTGGACGGGCTGCTGCGGACGTGTCGTCGTATTGATATCATGTATACTTTAGGCGGGCTCTGGGCATGCTCTTCCTCCTCTGGTCCGACGACGACGACAGCGTTGTACTGCGGGGTATCTCGGCCGCGCGGTGGCTCGACGACACGCCGACGTGGGTCACGGGCGTGCCGATTCCCGACTCGATTTCGCACCCGAGTCTCAACGCACTCAATACGGACCACAAGACGCCCACGGCCAAGTACGAAGCCGGCGCAGGCATCGCCCAGGTCGTCATGCCGTGGACGCCGGAAGAGTATTTGTTCCTTGTGCTCGCTGGGAACAAGACGCAGTTGCCGGACGAGGCGCTGCCGCTTCTGCGCTTCTTCTCGTGCCACGTGTGGCACGAACACGATGCATATGCAGACCTTACGACGCCCGACGACATGGACGTCCAAGACATGGTACGTCATGCATGCTACTAGTATTTGCTTAGTTGTTGCGATGGGTGTAGCTGCGCGGCTTGCACTATGGGCGGGTTCCCCCGACTGCCGGCGATTTGGACGCGATCGACGTCGACGCGTCACTGCCCTACTACCAGAGCCTCTGCGCCAAGTACTTGCCGCCCGTGCTTCAGTGGTAGCGCGATATATCTCTGTCTCGTTGAATTGTGTGGCTTGGATCCTGCTGCAATTGTATTCGTAAGCCCCATCGCGAGTGGGCAAAATATATATTTGAAGCGTGTCATCTTCAGTGAACTTGGCAGAGTGACCAGAATGTCAGACGTCGATGTGGGGAAGAAAGAAAGGGTCAAAGAGAATGAAACTTCCTTAGGCGTGCAATTTTCATTGATTTGATCTCTTTTTTAAACTTTAAAATCTATCAATGTATCGAGCCCGTGCCTTCATAAATACAGGTTGTCGTCGTGGACGCGGTCGAATCGCCACACGTCGCTGCAGTCGTCGGTCGTCCAGTCGATGACATAATCGTCGTCGTCGGCCTCGGTGTCGTCGACCTCGGGCTCGGGCGCCGACGCTGCTTTTCCTGCCGCATTGGGCCACGGTCCGGACACGCGCCGGTGGTGGTGCTTTGTCTGGCGCGGTGTCGCCGCAAGACTCGTTGGCGTCACCTCGATCGGTGGTTGCAGTGGCGCGAGCAGTGCTGTCTTGGCCGGGACGATCGCCGTCACCCTTTGGTAGCTCTGCAGCTTCCGCGACAAAAACGATCCGAGGAGCGGTTTGGAGTCTTTAGCTGGCAGCGGAAACACGGGCTCGGTCCACGGCGATGCATCCACTGTCAAGCGCGGACTTCGGAGCTCGCCATTCTCGCATTTCTGTTGCTTTGTAGCACCCTCCCCCCGCAGCGCGCCACCGCTCTGCGTGCGGAATGCATCCAACACGTTGTCGACTTGATGCTGCAGCTGCGTCTTCTCGTCGCCCTACATCAACACACGAATGGCATCAACGAGCGTTGCTGCTCCGTGCGTACGAGAAAGGCCCAGGGCGAGATCGGGTCAAACAACAGCGCTGGCGTCGTTGTCGCAACCACCGACGCCTCGTACGTGGCCCGGACCTTCAACGCGGCTGTGGTCGCTTGGATCATGTGCAGGTCCATGCGGCGCGCTTTCGCGTCGCTGAGCTCGAGCACCGTGACGGTCGTCGTCGCCATGTACGTCGCGCCCTCTACATCGTGGATCGCAAACACACTGGCGCCAAAAAACTGCCGAGGCCCGAGACTGCCGACGTGCACGACTCCGCGGCTCTCGGCGACTGCTGGCTTGTAGACTCCGACGACGCCCGTGAGAATGAGATAGAACCCACGGGCGTGGTGGCCGTGGCGCAGAAAGATATGCTCCGCGTGGTACGTGGCCTCAGCCATATCAAAGGCGACGCGGATGCACGCCTTGTGGTCCGCTTTTGGGTACAGCTCGTGGAGGTAGTCGGCCCGCTCGATGATGTAGTGGCGGATGCGGAAGCCCGGCAGGAGACGCGCAAAGTGCCGGCGCTGGAGCACAATGAGCTCGACGTCCGTGGCCGCGACCGCCGATGCAGAGCGCGGCATGTTGGTGACGAGCGTGAGCTCGCCAAAGCTGTCGCCGCCCGTCAAGGTCGCGACCACATGGCCGACGCTGTCGTCGCCGTCCTCAAAGACAACGCTCACGTCGCCGCGGAGGACCATGTACGCCTTGCCTTCGATCGTGTTTTGTTTGAAAATGTACTTGCCGCGCCGGACGATCGCAAATTCCATGAGCCGCGCCAGCTGCGACGCCATGAGAAACTTGCCGTCGCGCTTGGAGTCGTCGGTGCGGAACTTTTCGAGCAGCGTCGACGTCTCGGCGAGCCGCCCGAGGAACGCGACGTCGTCAGGCGGGCGATCCCGCGACGGCTCCGTGCTCAGAATGCGCTTGGTCTCGAACCGGATGACTTTGCGCGCCGAGATCGGGTCGAACCAGTCGATGCGGTTCGAAATGGACGGGAACCCGAGCGCGAGCCGCGGGTTGGCAAACACGCGCCGGTACAGATCCGTGTACATGGTCTTGCCCGCGAATTTCTGGGCCTGAACCGACTGGAACTTGCGCACAAACTTGACGAGGTGCTCGACGACCCGTGGGTTGCTGTGCATGGCCTCGAGCCGCCGCAGCATGCTCCACTCGTTCGAGACATTGGTCGCTAAGGCGCCGCCATCGGCGTCGTGGGCCGCACCGGTCTGCGCCTTCACAAAGCTCTCTCGGTTCATGACGATGCACACGATAGGGCCGACCGCAACGACATCTAATCGTGCGACTATGAGACATGTTGAACCGTTTGCGTCGGACGCAACCGGCCGTCCGCGGCTTGCCGAAAAGGCCCATTTCCCCAAACCCTTGAAAAGACACTTTTCGAAGCAGCTCGACTTCAACGCCGTTGGGTCGAATGCAGACTTTGGCTTCGCCCTACACCACAGCTACGACGACTGCCATCGGAGGGTAGGCAGGCCGAACCTCGACAAGGACAAAGTACTGGTCGTCAATCTCGCCGAGCTTGCAGACGTGCGCGCCATCGTCGTACGCGCGCAGCGTTGAGAGCCCGAGCATGCGGCCGCGCTGGGTGAGCGTCAACGCCGAAAACACGTTGAGGTTGTCGAGCACGCCATTCTCGCGCATGAGGAGGCGGTAGCGCATGAGATCCCGAACCGAGCCGAGGTGCATATTGCAGTGGTGCAGCGAGACCGTAAAGCACTTGACGTCGCCGACCGCGATCGCATTGGCCGTGCGCTGCATGGCGAGTGCATAGGCAAACGTGGACTCGCCTATGAGGCATCACCATAGAGGCGATGGAATGCGACGCGTCGACGTGTACCAAAGTACTCGAACTCGGTGCGGGTCGAGATTTGCTGCTGGTCGTCCTTGTTGAGCTTCTTGAGCCGCGCGCGCGTGATCTGGATCGTGCCACTCTCGACAAAGTAGATGTCCGAGTCGGTCTCGCCCTGCCGGACGATGAACGCGCCATTGGGAAAGTGCAGCGGCGTGAGCGCGTCCATGAGCTGCGTGCGTGACGCACCCGCCGCGATCGCCATGGCTACAGCACCAACATGCGTCATTATCATCCATCCGCGTCCTTTGCAGGCGCGTCGTCGTCGTACTCAGGATCGGCACGTTGGCCACGAGGAGGCGCTTGCGCTCGCTCATGTCGAGCTCGGCGACCGGCGCCTTGGGCGCCACAACCGGCGCCACGACGATGGGCTTGCTGTACACGAGGCTCGTGCGCTTGCCTTCGGGCGCAACCACGGTGCGGCGCCGGCCCATGCTCGGCCTTTCTGAAACGCGGGCGCGCGGTTTCAGGCGGCTAATCGCACCCAACTCGCCGCACCAGCGAGTCCCCTTGGACGACCGTCGAGCCGAGACAGGCGGCGTGGATGCTACCAAGGCCATAGATGTACACCGTGTTAGGATGGCATTGAGGATACCAACGGCCACGCACAACGCCTCAGCATCCTTCACACTGTGCTCACGTTCTTGTAGCCCGAGCTTATTGCACGGTACAATATGGATCCCAATCATCCACGTGATCAGGACTGGGTGAGGTCCCATAAAAAACCCAACGGGATCGCAACCTCTGCTTCAGGTTGCATCGCCCGACCACATTGGATGGGCCGATCCAATCCTGGTACTACTACGTACTGGGATATGGAGACGGGCCTGGCGCAGTGGGTGGCGACGACTGGTTCCTTCCCGCCAGCAGCAGCATGCTGGTCGGCCAAGTTGGGTGCGATCGAGCAACGGGTGACACCCTCACTGCAATGGATGGAATCGGAATATGAGAATAGTGTTTGACTTGCGGTTTGTATGTGGCCACGTGGCGATCGCATTTGGCGGGTTTTGAGCCACCGAATCGAGCCGCCCGAACGGGTCCATGAATCCTCCAATATTCAATATATAGTGTGCCCCGGCCGCAAGATCCGACTTCGCCCCCACCGGCCGACGACCCCGAGACCGACGACGACGACGACGAGAATGGACTCGGCGACGCTGCACAACATCCTACTGCACACCTTTAGCGAGGACGCGGCCGCGCGCTCGGCGGCGGAGGCGGCCATCAGCGGCCTCCACAGCGTGCGCGGCTCGGTCGTGCTGCTCGTGGAGCTCGCGACGCGGCCAGACGTCCAGCGCGAAATCCAGCAGGCGGCGGCCATTTTGCTCAAGAACCTCATCCAGGGCCATTGGGGCCACGACAGCGACTGCCATCCTGTCGAGCCCGAGGCCATCTTCCCGGACGCCGACAAGGACGAGTACCGCAAGTTTATCCTCCAAGGCCTCTTTGACTCGCACGTCAACTCGATCCAGAACCTCATGGTCGAATCCGTCAACATCATCGCACGCCAGGACTTTCCCGTACGACCGAATCGTACCTCCACGCGCTTAGCATGCGGCATGTAGGAGCGATGGCCGACGCTCATCGAAGACATTCGCGCCACGCTCCAGTGTGGCGACCCGCACCGCATCTGCAACGTACGCCTCGCCTTGTACGTATCGACATCATCGCGCGTGCGTACTAGGCACTGCTCGCGCTCCGCAAGGTCGTCAAGATATACGAATACAAACCGCCCACGGTACGTCCTCCGCCGATACGCTGTGAGCGCTCATAGCGCGCCCACGTAGCAACGCGAGACGCTCAACGTGATTGTGGTTGCGACGTTTCCGCTCCTTCGCACGATGCTCCAGCAGCTCCTGAGGTAGAGATTGTCTATATGCTTGACGACCCTAGTCTCACAACAAAGCATCACGACTAGCAATCCGTCCATCGAGGCAGGGCACATGGTGCACTTGATTTGCAAAATCTTTTGGTCGTGCGTCCAGTGCACGCTGCCGCCGTATCTGACGGTCGAAGAGATGACGGGCTGGATGGAGCTGCTCAAGACACTCATGTCCAAGCCGATGCCCGAGCTCGCAGGCCCGAGCTCGCCTGACGACGAAGAGACGCGCCACCGCCACCCGTGGTGGAAGGCGAAGAAGTGGGGCATCCAGATCATCTCGCGCTTCTACACGTCGTGGGGCAACCCAAAGCACGCGACCGCGTCCCAAGCGATGGCGACGTTTTTCCGGTCGACGATTGCGCCGCATCTCCTCGTCTCGGTGCTCGAGACCCTCGCGCTGCGTCCGCAAGGCCAGTTTTGTCCCGACCGCGTCGTCCAGCTCTGCCTCGTGTACCTCCAAGAAGCGATCATCTCGGGCGCGTCGTACCAGCAGCTCTTGCCGCACTTGGATTTCGTGCTCTTTAAAGTCCTGCACCCGGTCATGTGCCTCACGCCAGCCGACCTCGCCGTGTACGAGGCCGACCCGCAAGAGTATGTCCGCCGGACCAACGATGTCATGGGCGAGTACCTCCATCCTGTCTACGCCGCCGAGACGCTCCTCTCGGACCTCTGCACCAAGCGCGGCAAGCACTGCGTCTCCAAAGTCCTTGGGTTTTACAACCACATTCTTGTGACGCCGGCCAACGACGAAGACGGCTGGATCCAAAAAGAGGCGGCGCTGCATGCACTCGGCGCCCTCGATGCGTTTTTAACGTTGTCGCCGGCCCACCAGTCGCAAATGGAGTCGATCGTGCTCGCACACGTGCTGCCGGCCTTTCAGAATCCCCGCGGCTACATGCGTCTCCGTGCGACGAAAATGGTGTCGCGCAACTACATGACCAAGCTCGTGTTTCAAGACTCGACCATGACGCAGCTCGTGAGCTGCGTGCTGGCGACGCTCCAGGACCCGGATCTCCCCGTGCGCATTGAAGCCGCCAAGAGCTTTCGCCACCTCGTCATGTACAACCACACGACGATCGTCCTCGACGTGCTTCGCCCTGTGCTGCCGACCGTCCTGGAGCAATTCTTCAAGATTATGGACGACATGGGCTTCTCGGACGAAGTCATCTTGGCGCTCGAGCAGCTCATTGACCAGTTTTGCGATGAAATGGGCCCGTACGCCGTTCAGCTCGTCTTGCGCCTGAGCCAGCGCTTCAAGCAGTGTCTCGATGCCGAAGACGACGAAGACGACGCGTGCTTGACGGCCGCGTCGTGCCTCGACACGATCAACACGGTGCTCATGAGCATCTACAACCACCCCGAGCTCTTTGAACCGCTCCTCGACGCGCTCATTCCAATCCTGCACCTCTTGCTGAGCTCGGACAGCTACATTGACTTTGTCGAACCGGCGCTCGATATCGTCAAGTCGATTACGTTTTACTCCAAGTCGATCCACCCGAAAGTGTGGCTCCTCTTCCCGTCTCTCTTTCGCGGTGCCGACGCGTGGGGCAGCGAGTACATGCACTCGTTCGTGGCCGTGCTCTTTAGCGTCATTGGGCGCGACGCGAACGGGTTTCTGCAAGGCGTGCTCCAAGTCAACCTGCCGACCGGCGTCAAGCGCATCTCGTACCTCGAGCTCGTCTTCAACTTTGTGCGCAAGCTCCTGCACAAGCCCGAGGTGGACGAAGAAGACGTCTGGGGCGCGTGCCAGACCATGGATTGCATCCTCTTCAACTGCGACGGCATCGACATGTTTGTTCCGCCGTGCCTCCAGCTCGTGTGCATGCGGCTCAGCCGCACGCCGCAGCATGACACGCGCGTCGTCACGTCGCTGCTGGGCGTCGTGCTCTCGGCGCTCCACTACAGCGTGCCGTTGACGCTCTCGGTCCTCGACAAGATGACCGTCGTCGAACCCGTGCTCAACTCGCTCTTGCGGAACGCCGAGGTGCGCACGCGCTACTCGGAGCAAAAGGTGTTTGTGCTCGGGATGGTGTCGCTCCTCCGCGTGCCCCAGGCCGAGCTCCCGGCCGTCGTCCAGGTATGTCTTTTTCTTGCATCTTCTTGCATTTTCATGATGGATTTGATTTTCTAGACGCAATTCTCGACGATTGTGATGCTCGTCCTGCAAAAGCTCACGCACATTGTCGAGGCGAGCCGCCACTCGACCGACGACGGGCTGCGGTCGTACCAGGACCGCAACGACGAGACGCTCAAGGCGCTCATTGACCAAGGCGGGTACGACTCGGGCGAGGACGCCGACACGTCGCTCAAGGAAGAAGAGTACGCGAGCATCCTCCGCGACCTCGGCAAGGTACGCTTGATACATTGATACGCGAACAAACATCGAGTTAGGGCGGCTCGGACGCGTACTTTGACGACGACGACAAGGACTACTTTAGCAGAATAGACAACATTGACGAGTTTGCGCTCTTCCTCCAGACGATGCATGGTACAAGATCGACGTTGCGATCCCATGGTGTCTCATAGGCCACCATTTTAGTCCTGCAGACCGACCAGCCGCAGGCGTTCGAGAGCCTTGGGCTCGCCAACAACGCCGAGTACGCCCAGGCCTGCCAGGTAGATATGCTCATCTCATCGTCACCTCCTCATGTGCATCATGCGCCGTAGCTCTTTACGCATGAGATCCATCGCCGGCAGGCCGACTCGTCGGCGTAGGTTTTTCACATGGCGTGTTGACCACATGTGGGAAATACGACGTGGTTTTGTGCTTTGGAATAAATATCTAGCTTGTCGTATCGTGGGGTGCGTGTTTTTTTGCGGGTGGGAGAAAACCCACACGTGTGGAAAGACACGCGGTGGCAAACGGGAGAGGAATGTTCAGGAATCATTAAATTAAAAAAGCGATGCACAAGAATAATAATACACGCCTACACCGACACGTCGCGGAGGAGGTCATGGGACAAGATCAAGTCGAGGTGCCCCGGGTGCGTACAGAGGTGGCCGAGGTACGTCTGGATGAGCTTGACTTGGCGGATGAGGTCCTCCATGCTCGGCACATGCACAAACTTGACCGACTTGGTTTTGGCCAAGGGCATCATGCACGAGAAGGCCTGCAGCGCGACGCGCTCATAGTGCGAGTCGCCAATCGAAATGATGTGTTGCTGCGCGTGGCTCTTCTGGCCCATGATCTTGGCGAGCTCCGATGTAAAGCACGCGACCTTCCACTCGTCGACGGGGTACGTGGCCTCGAACGCGGTCCGCGCCGAGACGATCTGGATGTTTGAGAGAAGAGGCAGCAGTGATGGCATGAAGCGCGCGCACGACGCCTCGACCCAGCCCGCTTCGCCGTTGGTGATGATGATGCACGTGCGGTTGGCCTCAATGCACGAGGCCAAGAAGGCAGCGATGAGGTCGATGAGCTTCATGAGCATGACATGGTCGTGCTGCGTCAAGACAAAGCAGCCTTCTTCCAGCGGGTAGTTGCGCCGGGTGAGGTG